TATGTTGGCAGCACGCTGCAGCGGCGCCCTAGCACCCTACTGTTTGCCGGTTGCATGATTTCACTCAGTGGCCAGCACTTTGGCCCGATAATGAGCCGAAACACGAACATTTGGTCCCAAGACCGCAGTGAAAACATTGTCATTGAGAACTCGCCTTCGCTCAACACACAGAGCCATGGTGCAGACGAGCCAGCAAAAGGTTAGAGAGATGAGGAGATTCAAACTCCAGCCGTCAGAGCCATGAGATTTACAGCGTTTGCATGGTTTTTGCTTGGGATTTTTGGTGGTCTTCTCGGCCCTCGGGACCTCTTCAGAGACAGGTTTGGATTGTGCAATCTGCAGGAGACAAAGCGTCATTTCGCAGAAAACGGAACGAATTCCAAGCTGCCAAGTTGTATCATCCAAATCGGCCCAACTCACTCTGCGGCCACGTTGCAATTTCAACAACTTTGCGTGGCAATGTACTTGGCCCGGCCGGACAGCATTGTGCGTTGCGAGATCGAGAAGGCTCCAAGCGTGATCAAATCCAATGAATTTTGGGTCATGAAAACGCATGATCCCAAGTGGGCGCGCCAAGTGGTCGAGCAGTGCGTTGAAACATGGGTTTTCATGACCGCCGAAGACTCAAATCCTCTGGACAGGACGGAACTGGCGATTGGGTCGGCGACGGTGAAAAGCGTGTGCGATGTGAGGACTTGTCTTGAAACTGATGGTGCTGGGTCCATGTCGGCACGCTATGGTCACATGCTGCACCTTTCTGCAAGTGAATTGCGCGAACTGCAGATATATATGCGATATTGGGAGCTTCTCCAGAAGTGCTGCGGTTCTGAGATGTCGCCAGACTGGCGAGGTTTTTTGAAGTTTGGCTACTCCTACGCGCCTGCAAGACGCTCTGAAACTCATCCTTTGGCTCATGAATGCTCGATCTACGACCTCGGACGGGCGGAGCGCTTGCTGATGGAGACCAGTGTCGTCCGACGCTTCGGACAAAGCGCGGAACAACTCCTTCGCCCGGACACGGAGACCGAACACCGTTTCACAGGGCACTTTTGTGTTGGCGCCTTGGTGGGGTCCAGTCTAGTTTAGTCGACGCGCAGACACCCAGACATGCTGTCCAGACTTTTGTCTCGGCACCTTTGTCTCAGGCTTTTTCACAGTCCTCTTTGAGTTCACTGAGGAAGTTGTGTTGATACGTGCATGTTCACATGTGTTGACCGGTGTTTGCCATGAATCTTCTGTGGCTATGGCCCTTGCCGATGGAAGTGCCGCAGGGATAACGCAGATATCTAGGCAGTCGGCAATTGTGTATAGCGTGTATACAGCTGTACCGACCGCCAAATCACCTTTGGCCCAAGCGCCCACTAGCAGAAAAAAGGGCGCGACTTCTGTATTTGGACGCGGAGGTGACGTTAGCGGCCGCTCGCTGATTATCAGCTGCGCCCGCCCTTCGGCACGAACTATTGAGAAAGACCAACAATGTATTGTGACCAACTATGTCCAGTCTTGGAGGAAAAAATTGTGGTGAATTCTATTCCTGCGCCGCGCCTGGACCAAACATGTCGCAGTCATCTCCCGACTCGGGAATGACAGGCGCAAGCTCAGCTGACGCCACCGTCATGACGATGCAAACCGGTTGCAACATCAGAGGAACACGGGGCTTGGGTGGTCGAAGTGATTCAGAGCTAAATGAAAACATAAAGAACTTAGAATGGATCATTGCTGACAATGAGAAAGTGCTCAGAGAACTCCGACGAGAGAATGCTCGGTTGAAGGTCGCAGTGCAACCCAACCTACATCTTTCCCAGGGCTAAAAACGAGAACCAATGCAAAGGGACGATCGAGTTTCATCCAAAGAAACAAACTATTGGAATCTGTGTGAATTCTGCACACGTGTCACTAGTAATTCGCTTGTGTCACTTGTGCAGTCTTTTGGTTAAGACCTGGGGGCTTGAGCCAACCGTGTTTCTGCCCGTAGCCCCTTTTGGAGATTGAGCGCAGAACGGTAAAAAGTAGAGCCCAATACGCTAGCTGCCTGTGAACCTCCGTTTTCACATGGTAGTGGAGCTTTGAGCGGGTAGCGCCGCCAGGCTCAGGGACGCGCTGCCGCGGCCCACAACAGTGGTCGGCGCAAAGGTGGTCACTGGTACAAACGTGACTGGCAAACAAACAGCTGGGAGACATCCTGGAACGGCAACAGACTGGTCCAGCAACACTTGGACTGACTGGCGTGCCGGCGCCAGCAACCACTGCAGCTAGTGGGAGCCATTGCCCCACAGCAACAGCAAAGCCGAAACCTAGAAACAGGCGAGGCACGCGCAGCGCTCAGAAGCAACTTGAGCGACAACAGCGAGGGAAAACTAGAAGAGTAGCTGCCCTTCAAACTTTCACACCCGAGGAGACCGAGGAAGTGGACCGAAGAACGCGTTCATCTTCGTCGGCGTGGGTGGGCGGTCCAAGTACCTGACCCCGCGCGACCGCCGCGCGCAACACGACTCGGACCCACGTGGGCGCGAACCCACATTCCTGAAAGGGGCCGGAGAAATCCATCCATTTTATGTTGTTCCCCACCCATCCTTACTAGGTGGGGCCCTGACACTAGTTATGCTCGGTGACCCGGTTCGCCGTGGGAAGGCGAAACACGGAAAACGGCCGGGAAAACCGAGCAGGAACCAATCGAAAGGAAAAGAACTCGGAGTAGATTTGAGCGACCGAAAATGACGATCTTCTGCTTCAGAGAGGCCTGACTTTTCGCGGTCAGAAGAGGAGCCCAAAATTGTTCAGGCGTTGCCGGCCAAGGAGGAGGAACAGCCGACTGTCCCCAACCTGGCCTACACACCCCGCGAAAGGAGCGGGTAGCCCCGCCCGGACGAGTGGCAAGCAAGAAGGTTCGCTCAAGAAGCAAGCCAGGGCTTCACCGCAGCATGCTACGAACGGGAATTGGCATTGATTGAGCAAGGAGGCAAGGAATTTAAGTGAGCTACCAGCCTGAAAGCAGGAACAATGGAGCAATCACAGCCATCCAGCGGGCTGCCGGCCTCGGTCGGTCTGACCGCGCAGCAGCTCATAGAGCAAATGCAGCAACTGCAACAACGCAGCACGCTTCAAGTAGCTCAAACTCGTCAAGCTGAACTGGAAGGGACCGTCAAGACCTTGCAGCGCCAACTCAGCCTGCAAGCAGCAGCAAGTCAGCCCACAGCAGTTCAGCCTGCAGTACCTGAGTCTCACCCTTTCCGAGGAGTAGATCTTCTCAAGCAAGCAGTCAAGCCACCGAAATCACTTAGTGAAAAAGGTGCGGCTGACTGGGAAAGGTTTGTGTGCCACGTTGAAACGTTTTTAGCATTGATGGACGACCGGTACCCTGAGGATCTGGACGAAGCTCGTCGGTCGTTGAAACCTTGTGCCATGGAAGGCATGGCGCAGGATTACCGGATATTGTCCATCAAACTTTTTGGGTTGGTAACTTCGTGGACGCAGGATGCCCCGAGCGCGGGGAATTCAAGGACAAAATGGGTTTGAACTCTGGCGGCTTCTATGGCGGGAGTACCGCCCGGAACACACAAATCCTTGATCTGGCGCAGGACGTTGTTGTCGCCCAAGCTTCCAACCCGCAAGGCAGACTTCAGTGCAGCGCTCCAAGAATGGGAGAATGAAGTGGACCGCTATGCTGCCGAATTCGGAGCCGAACGACGAGCGGATAAAGACAAACGAGCGTTGTTGATCACTGAAAGCCCCGCTGCCCTCAAACAACATCTGGCCATGCACGCAGCAGCGCTCCCAACGTATGAACAAGTGCGCGCAGTAGTGGTAAGCTACGTCCAGGCAGAACGGGTCTGGATACCGACGGCTACTCACGCTGCGGGACACACCGCGCGTGCAAGGGACCCAGATGCAATGAACATCGACAAAGTCGATGAACAGAAAGGTAAAGGGAAAGGAAAGCAAGACAACAAAGGCAAGAAAGGAGAAAGCAAAAGAAAGGCGACGGCAAAAAGAATGAAAATCGAGCGTGGCAAAAACTCTGGGAAAAAGAAGGACAAAGAAAAAGGTGCGATTTGTTGGCGCAATCGCTCCACGCAAGATTGCTGGCACAACGCCAAGGGCCAAAGAAAACAACACTATGACGCTACGTCTGGGAAAGGCCGAGGAAACGTACAAGCGGTCAACGAAGAAAATATGTCAACCGCCCTCATGTCGGTAGGCCCATCTGTATCCCATGCGGGAAGCACTGCTGGGAACGTTGCAAAATCCGGGATCCGTCGCGTATATGATCGCGAACGCGTGATGCGAATCGGCGAGAAAAATACAACCGTTCAATTGAGCCGGTGTTACTATTAGGCAGAAACACGCGACAAACAGCAAAGACATTTTGCCGGTGAACAGGGCCATTGATGCTGGTGCTACGGTGGCGTTCAGTCCCGTTGATTCTTATGTTCAATGGGCTGACGGTTCTCGCGCGGACTTCCACTGCTGAGGAAACCAATTCCTCATGCCTTTTGAGGAAACGCGGCGCGAGCAGTCACAAACGGTTGCAGCAATTGGGTATTCCGAAGGGGGAAGGCCATTCGAAGACCCGGACGCTAAGGCGGTACGAGATTATATGATGACGGTGGCAGCGACTCAGAGCCCGATGACCCACAGCAAGTACAGGTGATGAAGCAGCAAGAGATGGAAGTGCTGTTGATTATGAACCCGTCGACTTGGAACAGCAGGCGGCGGAACCGCAAGCGCCAGAACCAGCAAGCTTGCCCGTTCCGGAGGAACCGTCAGCAGAAGACAAACAACGGCATATGTTAACGCGCTTGCCGTTCGCGTCCTGGTGTGAACAGTGCGTGGCCGGAGCCGGAAGAGATGGCCACCGCCGACGAAAACCGATGGGGCACGATGGTCAGCTGGAGACCGCAGTACAAGCAGACTACACGTTCTTTGCCCGCAACGCTGACCAAAGTTTGATCGAAGATGAGTCTACCCTGGTGACGGCTTTACCCTTCGTGGACAAAACCAGTGGCTGGCCGTTGTCGTTTCACGTAACAAAGAAAGGCGACAGTTCACAGTACGCGTGGAACACGGTGGAACAATATTTGCGCAATCTCGGCCACGCAAGGACAATCATCCAAAATCGACCAGGAAAATTCGATCAGGAGTGTCGCGAAAGCAATTCAGAAACGAATGGGCGACAACAGAGTGCAGATTCGGGAAACTCCGATCCACTCTCATCAAAGCCAAGGGGCCGTGGAAGGTGAAAAGTGCATCCTGAGTTTGTCCGTGTGACGGTTCTGGATTCCAGTGCCTACGATGGAGAGTTGAGCCTCGACCTGTTCTCAGACTCGGATTGGGCAGGCTGTGCTGAAGCCAGGCGATCTACGGATTCGAATGTGGCCTACGGTGGCGAAGCGGTCATCGCTGCCACCACGCAAACCCAACCTGGGTTACCGGATGTTACCGGCGACCTCCAGTCCTGATGCCGAGCTTCGTGGTATCAGCAGGGCTGTTAGGGAAGCGCTCTTCACTTATGGATTGTCAAATGAAGACTTCGGTCTTAGAACAAGTAGCAGCACTGCCATCACTGCGGCCCGAAGGATTGGTCCTGGCAGCAAGCTGCGGCGCTTGGAGGTCTGTCAAGGTGTGCTGCAGGCAGGTAAAATTCCAATCCGAAAAGTCAAAGGAACGTCCAACCCAGGAAACTTTTTGACAAAGTACGCAAAAGGTCAGGCCTTGCCATCCCTTGGAATTGTAGATGTCCGTGACGTAGCGGGTAGCGCCCCAGTCACCAGGTTGTCGGTCAAGGCCATTGGCCAAAATGATCCGATCACATGGAAAGGTTTTGTGCCCAAAGCAGTTTCAACTGTAATCACTGTAATCTGTTGGCGCCCTGACTGCGCAACAGATTGTGGGAGCGCCGTGAGCAAGTCAGCCTGTAGATGTCCAAAGCGAACAGGGCAAGATCATCCCTAGACCCAAAGGGGGGTGTGAATTCTGCACACGTGCCGCTAGTAACTCGCTTGTGTCACTTGTACAGTCTTTTGTTAAGACCTAGGCATTTGAGCCAACTGTGTTTCTGCCCGTAGCCCTTTTGGAGATTGAGCGCAGAACGGTAAAAAGTATAGCCCAATACGCTAGCTGCCTGTGAACCTCCGTTTTCGCAATTGGCCCTATTCATTTTCAAGACGGCGTCCACCGTTGAGGCCTTGCATACTTCCACGCATCTGTAAGGCCAAGCGGCGTCCCGCATGAGGACACATTGAAGGTTTTGTTGTGGAGGAAGATCAGGGACTCCAACCTCATGGCATACAATATGAGTGCATACAACAGCCTGAGCGACGGGGGTCCCAAGAAGACCTACAACAACTTGGTATCATTACAAGATACTTTTGGAGAAGGAGTAAGCAGAGCAGTGAAAATGTGGCGAACACTGTCCCGCGTCTAAGGCCAAGTGGTCCTGCGCCCAAAGGAAAAACTATGCTGGCTGATCCGAATTCAACGAGGAAACCGAAAATTCCTGGTGGAGCACTTGAAACAGAGGATGCTGTAACAGTGAAGCCAAGGCCCAATCCCAAGAAACATCCTGAAGATAAGAACAACAAAGGTAAGCAAGGGATATGTTAAGGGCGAATGCACAAAAGGGAAAGAATGCCCATACAACCACAAGAAAACACGTTCTCAGTCACGAAATGATAAATCACCCGGCAGAGGTGCTGGCGATGGATTGGAGGATACGCAAAAGGCGACAACATCGGTCACCGACCAATGTCTGTCGACCAGGATTAAGGTGAATGCTATTTCCTGGTGAGGATGAAGAGGGGGAGGCCGAAGATCCGGAACCTGAAGCTGATGAGGAAGAAGACGACGCAGATGACTTTGAAGTCGATGTAGTTGATGGAGAAAGCAAGACGGCGCGAAGGGGAACGTTGAAGGCTGAGGCTAAAACCATTGAACACCTACTTACTCATCGATACAAGAACCCATATTGTGAATCCTGTATGAGAGCCAACGTGAAACATTTCAAGACGCATCGTGGTGCATTCAAACGGAAGCTCAAGGCTTTCGGAAAGCTCGTGACGTTCAACTTCTTTGGTACATATTGATACCAAGAAAAATCATGGATCAAGGATTCGGATAGCCTCCATGGCCCCAATTGAATTTCCACTCGGAATATGAAAGGACCAACAATACCTAATTGAAGGCGAAGGTAATCCACAATTCGCCAACGGTGAAGTCCTCTTGTCCTTGTCGTGTCCGGGTCTTGTTCTCCTTGTCTTGACTGGCTGGGCTCCGCCGCTTGTCCTGCCGTTGTCCTTTGTGTGCGCTGACCAAGCCTGTCCTTGCCCTGCTGTTGTCCTCATCTCTTGTTCTTCTCTTGTCCTCCTCTTGTCCTGCTGTTGTCCCGTCCTCTTGTCCTGCTGTTGTCTTCCTCTTGTCCTTCTCTTGTCCGCCTGAAGCTTGCCTGGACCGCGCCCGACTGACGCTGGAAGGGCTTCTTCGAAGGCCATGCATTGTCCTGCGTTCGGAGCGTTTGCAGTGCGGACTCTGGAACGTTCGGTCAGCGCGCTCAGCGCCCTCCTCTCCTTTTGTCCTGTTCTTGTCGTCTGGTTGCGCTGGCCAACCCTGCGTCCTCCTTTTGTCCTTTTCTTGTCCTCCTCTTGTCCTCCTCGCCTCCTCGTCCTTCGGCCGCGCTGGCGAACCTTGTGATCCTCCTGCTTCTTTTCGATCCTTGTGTGTCCTCGTGCCACGGTCGCAAACCCCGCGTCCTTCTTTTTGTTGTTTGTCCAGATCTGCCTGTCCTGCTTGTCCACGTTGTGGGCCCGTTTATCACCGTCTTACCCGGGGCTTGTCCCCTGCTTGGCCACGCCGTTTTTCCTATCTCCACCGCCTTGTCTATGTTCCCGAATGCGTAGCGAAGGGTTCTCGTTTAACTCTGGGGGTCTGGGGGTAGAGCCTTGTTCGCGACCCGTTGTTTCTATGTTCGCAACCGTCCGCAACCGTTCGCAACCGTCCGCGACCGTCCGCAACCGTTCGCAGGTGTCCGCAGTAGAGCGCTAAGGCGCTGCCATTGGGGGAAGCTTTTGCAAGTGACTTTTCATGGATGTGTCACGTGTCAGTTTGCGACGCTATTCCATTGTCATTTGCATGAAAATGACATGTCGCGCAAGAAGCGTGATGCATGTCGCTGCACAGGCGCAGCGTTTTGTGAGATCTTCAGTTTGCTACGCAGTTCCATTGGGTTTAGCGTTTGGAGAGTCGTGTTTTTGGGGTGTTGGATGTGGCCGTGCCATTGGGATTTGCGCTTCAGGGTGTGGCGTCGAAGCTCTGTTTTCGTGACCAGTCTCAGCTGAAATGGCGATTTTGGTGGATGGGAGTGTGCTCAGAACGGGTCGAAATCATTCCAAATGTGTGGTGTGGTGCAAATTTTGTTGAAGCTGACATGAGATGATATTGCCACTTTTCGTGGCAGGCGCAGTACTTTGTGTGGGTTTTGAGGCGTGGAAGTGCGATTCTCGTGGCAGGCGCAGGGAATGGTGAGGTTGCGAGGTGTGTCGGAGGTGACATTTCGTGGCAGGCGCAGTACTTTGTGCGCGTTAGACGTGTGGATGCGGAAAGATTCGTGGCAGGCGCAGGGAATTGTGAGGTTGTGAGTTGTGGTGGAGGTGAATGTCGCTGTCACAGTGGGATTGGCGTGTGAACGGGTGTTGTTTGGAGGGGCTGGACTCGCGAAACTGCTTGGCAGGGCTGCGTGATGTGTGTGCTCCGATGGGTGTTTCCGCTTGACTTTTGGAGGAAGTCTCGTACGACACGCTCGTTTTGGAGACTTGACACGTGACTTTTGGAGGAAGTCTCGTACGAAACGCTCGTTTTGGAGACTTGACATGTGACTTTTGGAGGAAGTCTCGTACGAAACGCTCGTTTTGGAGACTTGACGTGTGACTTTTGGAGGAAGTCTCGTACGAAGAGTGCCCTACAAGAGTGTCCCACAAGAGTGTCCCACAAGAGTGCTTCACAAGAGTGTCCCTTAAGAGTGTCCCACAAGAGTGTCCTATAAGAGTGTCTCACAAGAGTGTCCTACGAGAGTGTCCCACAAGAGTTTCCTACAAGAGTGTCCCACAAGAGTGTGCCACAAGAGTGTCCTACAGGAGTATCCCACAAGAGTGTCCCACAAGAGTGTCCCACAAGAGTTTCCTACTAGAGTATCTTACAACATGTTCCTACAAGAGTGTCCCGCAAGAGTGTCCCACAAGAGTGTCTCACAAGAGTGTCCTACAAGAGTGTCCCGTATGAGTGTCCCACAAGAGTGTCCCACAAGAGTGTCCCGCAACAGTGTCCTACAAGAGTGTCCTATAAGAGTGTCCCACAAGAGTGTCCTACAAGAGTGTCCCACAAGAGTGTCCTACACGAGTGTCCCACAAGAGTGTCCTACAAGAGTATCTCACAAGAGTTTCGTACAAGAGTGTCCCACAAGAGTGTCCCACAAGAGTGTCCCGCAAGAGTGTCCCACAAGAGTGTCCCGCAACAGTGTCCCACAAGAGTGTCTCACAAGAGTGTCCCTTAAGAGTGCCCCACAAGAGTTTCCTACAAGAGTGACCCACAAGAGTGTCCCACAAGAGTGTCCTACAAGAGTGTCATTTGGACATATGTAGCTTTTCGAACGTGTTTGCATTCGGGTTCGTGGGCTCCATCTTGTTTTTTTCATGTGGCTATGAATGCAACAGTGACACAGCGATCGAAATGTGATATCACTATCGGATCTTCTCACGACATATATCCGGTATCCCATCGTTTTGCGCGTGTGACACAGGCATCAGGTCAGGAACTGGTGTTTTCAATCGTTTGTTTATTGTTTAGTTCCCAAACAGCTGGAGGCTTTAGAAAAATTATACTTGCATTCATTTCCACCAACATTGGAATTTTCGGAGTTGACGCCGACGCCGACAAAAATGCTGACGCTGTTTGGGGTCTATGCTGCAACTAGCAGAGGTAGACCTATGCGACTTACAAGCATAAGTAGCATAACGTAACTTATAATTAAACAATGATACAAGCATAGACCCCAAACCGCTAACTTTTTAATAAACTACTCTTAGTATACACTATCCTACATACCGGACGGGGTCGACTATGGCAGGGATTCAGGGGACGAGAAGGAGGTGACCATGATGGATGTTCTTGAAGCGATCGAGAAAATGTACCTACCGACGTGCTGAACGTCCAGACGGTGCAACCAGATCCCACCAGGTCCCAAATCCTTTTGAACCAGATGATTGGAAGGACAATGTCGATTTGCCAAAGTCGCGTCAATTGCCAGAAGCCATTCCCATGGATCAAGCGGAGATGTCAGCCTGCGAGGATATGGGACGAGGACTCTCAATGTTGATGGATAGGTATCTGATCAGGTGTGTTTGTCACCTCATCGCCAGCACCTACCATCAAACAAGAGTTTCCGATTTCAAGAAATTCATGAAGAAACGCTTGGAGTCAGAATTTAGACCTGGTATACCGTGCGGCATCAATAGCAAATCGGAGGTCATGGACCCCAATCTCAGATGAAGGCCTTCGCCGAAAGATATGATATCAATGAATGAAGCTTGGCACAGGCTCCATGGTGACTTCTTGTCAGATTTGCTCTCCAGGTGTTTGCGTTGGGCTACACAGGAGACAGCTTCAAGGCAGAGTTTGGTGACGACGCACGATATTAACTTAGAACCAAAAGGCAGAAAAATCTAGAAAGATGTCCGAAGAAGTGCGTCAAGACGATCTACAACCTCAACACCTTGCACATTTCCACTATGACGTGAGGGATCAAGAATGGCGCGCACAGTTGGACACACTGGGTATTCTTTTTTCGAGACCAAAAACAAATGGGATAGCGTCATTCTCTTGGTCTTTGCGCACAAGGATGTTGAATTACCTCCCACAGCCAACGACTTCGTGAAGAAGATGGCAAAGAACAGCGATCCGAAAGCGTTCGAAAGGGTTTGACCAACAACCAACTGCAAAGGATGATCCAGAATTACGGGTATGGTACCATGACCAGGAATGGCGGAGAAATGTCGAAGAGGGGTTGAGTCAGTATATGTTGGAAGAGAATGCGCCGAGAGCAAAGCCATCAGCTGCACCGGAACTTTCCTCCCGATCATGGCGCACGTGCTTCATCATCGACATCTTGGCAGCCAACGCTTGATCCAAAAGCAAAAGCCAACGCGCCAAAAGGGAAGGGCGAAGCTCCCAAATCGAAGGCATGGCGTCGAGGATATTGATCAGGATGGTGGATGATCCAACGGGTAGATTGTTCACCGGACATCTTACCGATAGATTGTCCACCGGACATCTTACCAATCCCTCACAACTGAAACCCGCTATGCCCCATCGATGCAGATCAAACCGAAAGTTGAAGCCATGAAGTAATGAGTTCTCCAAAACATTAGTATTTCTGAGCGTGGCCAGTCAATACTTTGTATGTAAGATCCGCTTTAGTTCTACCAAACTTTGTAGTCGAGACTTAGGGTCTTGCGGCAAACCTTTCATAGCCTGCGCGCAGCACTACCCTTGTAATCAACTGTGCCATGGACGATTCAAAATCACCCTTGCATGGGGGGCGCCAATGGAAGCGCGGCAGGGAAAACGTAGTATACCTAGGCAATTGTGAAAAGCATGTACAGCTGTACCGACCACCAAATCACCTTTGGCTCAAGCGTCCACTAGAAGACAAAGGGGCGCGACTCGTCTATGTGGACGCGGAGGTGACTACAGCAACTATTGTTTCCACTGCAAGCTGTTGGTTAACACCCACTCACTCGCATATTCTTTTGTTCTCCGCGGCTCTCTAACGCATACCAGTGCTCCGTTCACTGCTGTCATCGTTGCCTACGGCGGAGCCTGTGAAAGATACGCGCAGGACGCCTTCGTACGGAAACCTTTTTGGAGGAAAGTCAAGCTTCGCCATGAAGATTCAGCCAAACCTTGAGTTTGTGTTTTGAGTTTGTTTGAGGTTACAATGAGGAGTTGAGAGCTTCCTATCAGCCACCTCCTGCCCCTGGTGCTCGCAAGAAGATGCTTCTTCATGTGGGCCCATGGAAAACAGGTTCTTCGGCTATGCAGCAGGCGCCTGAGTTTTCCAACGCAGGGAAGGTGAAGGTGGAAAGGTTTTGCGAAAGGAGCATCAGACTGTGCAGAAGATTCTTTTGCCATTTTGTGTCATCGTTTCATTTGAGTAAGCACATGTGTCTGGGCATGCGTCGACTCGTATAGAATTTGCTGTAAATTCAAGAACAAGATGTAGTTGACAGATGTTTTTCAGTATGAATGACAGAAAGCTGCCATGCCACCCTTTTGAACTTCTGAACGTTCTCCGTGCAAGGTGTGTAAGACTCAGACCAGAGCAAAACAGCACAGTACAGTATACGACCTTGCAGATTCGGACGCATTAACTGCTTCACGAACGCCCTTGCCTGTGTGGTTCTAGCAGTGTTTGCAGGTGTGTTCAGCGTCAGGTTGAACGCGCCCCTGACTGTGGCTCAAACTTAGGGTCGTTGAGCTAGTGGAGACGAAAACAAACAGATCGCGTTGAGTGTTGAGATTCAAACGGGTAGCAGAGCCGGTGCTAGAGCATCCTTCCCACCCCAAACTCTTACAGCGGCTCACAGACAGATCCAGGAGTGTGCGTGTTTGGGAGCTTTGCTGACCATTGCTGGAGCTAATGTTTCTTACAGGAGTGTGTTTCAGATATTCTATTCACGGCATGACCCCGCGGGGAGACAAAGAGTGGCTCCTACATCTACGCAAGACCCGGAATTCCGCACCAGTGTGCTTTCGCGACCCAGAAGGTCGAGAAAAAGATGGCTGAACTCAAGGTCTGGATCATCGTCTCCCGACTGAAAACGTTTATTTTCGAAAACCAACTTGTACTTTAACTTGTCTCGTGCTGCCTCAGACAGCAATAGCTGTAGGGGCCCGACCAGACGACCCGTGGTAGCGGAGCGCTCAACCCCCTTTTTCCCTTTCACTTGAGTTTCGGCTCAGCATCTTTCAGCCGTAGCTTGTACCTTTCAAGGCATCTTTGTGTGGCCACCCTCTTACGCACAGCCTTCTTGACGTGCATCACTCTCTTTATATTATCTTCATCCATCCAGCAAGCAAGGTGCGCTGGGTTCAGTCTGCTAGGCCTGCAATCCTCTACAATGTGATTGAGGATGTGCAACTTTGGCCTGCAGCGAAAGAGCTTCAAGTTGCGGTCCAAGGCATTCCTTGCCATGCGAACATAGAGCTGCATCATCAATTTCCCAACAACCACGCGTTGCCGGTCCTCCTCCACTGTCAGGAACATAGCTCCACTGCGTAGTAGCGCCGCCCACGAATTTGCCAGCCACACAAACTGCAGGGGGT